AAACCGGGGCGCATTGACAAGATTTGCGAATTTGTCAGTTCCATCAGTGCTGCGGGTGTCATGACTAGACACCAGGCACAGGTGCTTCTGGGCCTCCTGAACTTTGCTTGTGGCTACTACCATGGCCGTGCGTTGAGATACCTTTGCAAGGATCTCATCACTGTGGTCACAGGTGGATCGTTGGATGGTCGTGCCCTGCAAGTCTTTTGCGACGAGGTCAAGCAGACCTTGCAGAACACCCCGCCTAGAGTTTTGAAGCTTTCTTCTTCGCAAGAAGTTGTGCATCTTTATGTTGACGGGTCGTGGGAAGATGGGTTTGCCGGAATAGGAGCAGTCCTGATCAATCCAGCTACGGGTGTCGGTCGCGTTTGGCAGGGAGTTGTTCCAAGTGCCATCATATCCAGGTGGAAACGGGATGTGAGCGAGTTCTTGATATGTCAGATAGAACTTTACGCTGCCCTGTGTATGCGTGTTCATCTTGCCGATTTTCTCTATGACCGCAAGCTCATCCTATGGACTGACAACGACGCGACGGGACAATGCTTGGTGAAGGGCCGATCGCCCAGCCCTTCGATGCAAGTCATGGTCAAGTGTTTCGGGCGAGCAGACATCAAGCAACCGTGTTACTTGTGGATCGATCGAATCCCCTCTTCGTCAAACCCGGCAGATGCTCCGAGCCGTGGCGAAGGTGAGAGTGTCTTGAAGCTCGCAGGTGCTAGTCGACTTGAGTCGTTTCCTACGCTTGCCTCCTTCGAGTGACAGCAGTTTTTCAGTGGCACGTCAGTGGTCGTCTTCTGGGGAGTTTCGGGACCCCTGGCGTGTCCTGTAGGGCACAGTGCTGGGCATGTCTCCCGTTTTCTACGACATGTCTGAGATGTCTGCGACTTTCCCCAGTGCACCGCTGGCAGGTGAAAAACGAAGGAGCGCGAGTGAGTGAGTCTTTTTAATACTTATGTTTGATCCTTTTGAGGAAATATCTGAGTCAAATTTTTATATCTCTCTTTTGGAATCTTTGAGTCTCAAGCAACTTAATTGCTGGTGGAGATATTCAAGACTTGATTCCATAGATGTTTCCATTGTTCACGTGTTCCATTTTTGCTGGAGAAGGTAGCTTCCACCTGTCCGGAGTGCCACGGTGTTTCTAACCGGGCTTGCTTGAAGCTCCCTGGTTGTTAGCGCTCAGGCACTTGTGTGCAAGGTCCAG